TTGCATTCCTCTTCTGAAAATGTAACAAACCATGAAATCTCTTCCCACACTTCCGTTTAGTGTCTTGATTTATGCTTTTTTTAATAACCAAGTGAGTGTTTTTTAATAATGCAAAGCTTAAAAACATTTCTTTTACTGCACTGATGGAAAAATGGAAAAAATAAAAATCATGTGAAAAATTTAATAACCCTTAATGGCAAGTACCTATTGCTATGCTAAGCTTTAAGCAGGATTAGTGTCTGATAAAAAAAAAATGGGAGAAGGTCTATGTGTAGATGGGGTAGGAAATACTGGGGTATTTGGGAGTTTTACTTACCTAAGCTTTCTATAAAATAAAATAGCCCTTTTCCAACTACTTGGAAGGAAAAATTAATGTTCAGGTCCATAGATTTAATTCGAAACACTAATTTATATGGAATTCAATAACATTAAAAATGACAAGAATAAAAGAAGAAATAAAGCAGCAGTTATTTTTTGAAGACTTAAGATATTCTGAATAAAAATATCAAAATCTTGCCAAAGTCCTGTCAGAACCAGTAACAGCATCTGAGGTGTACTGAACAATTTATCAACATATAAAGTAGCTTAATATTCCATTATCAAATAAAATGAAATTAATCCCTGAAACCATTTATCACAAAATTCAATATATTGGCATAAAATTAATGAACATTATTCCAACATTCTATAAAGAAATAAATAAAATATTATTGGAAAAAAACAAGGTAAATGCAAATGTTATCCCTACCCCTACTCATATGCATAGGTCAACATGCTCAATACCATGAATGACTCTCAAAACTACTCAGTAATTGTATGCCATTCTCAGTTTTTTTTTGGAATATGATAAGGTGATTCTAACGTGTACATGTAATTTCAAAAAGCCAAAGAAAACCAAGAAGATCAAGTATCAGTAATTGAATCAAACTTATAATAGCATTCAACAAAATGTACACATGTAAATATCCTTGATACAAAATAATAAGCAAAAGTGCATATGTAAAGCCCTTGAGAAACAAAAATGAGGCACAAGGAAGAAATTTACATAAATCACATCAGCATAGATATCTACAATTAGGTGGACTAGCAAACAGTAAATGATGAGGACATTTTGAATTGCGGGACTGCCTGGGCTGAATTGTCAAGTCTAGAACGTTCCTACCTAGTAGATACATCCCATATCCGTAGGTCAGTTATGTCTTCCCCACTGCACCAACTCCTAAGTAAGAATGTTTTAGCCTCATAGTTAGGTCAAGCCTGTCAGTGGTAACTTCATACCAGCAGCCTTGCTGGTTCTACCAATATCTCCAAGGCTGTGTCCACTTCCTGTAAGGCTGCTTTCCTGGCTGAGAGTTCTGTCTGGTCTTGCAAATAGTTCAAACCATACAGGTGCTGTGATGGGCCCAGCAGAAGATGAGTTGAGGGACAAGCGAGAGGGAAAGCACCCATGAATAGATGGAGTGGAAAGAGGGAACTTGTGTGTGTTTGTGCTGGTGTGAGCATCTTTCCTGCATAACCAATGTAACAACTGAAGAGGAATCGGAGGGTAATCATCCCTAAGTACATTTATAAGACAACATCATACAACTAATAAAGTTTCCAACGGACATATTTAAGATGCTAGTCTATTTGCGTGGAAATAGAGTTGTGGAGGAGTGCTGAGAAAGAAATGTGTTATCTCAGGAGGTAAAGGTTTGGATGATTCTCCCAAACGCAGGATCAGGCATATGGTGGAGTGATTGTCTGTCTCACTTATTCTTTTACTTAGGACCAGTTTCCTTAGGACCAGTTCAGATTCACAGCAAAACTGAGAAGAAAACAGAAATACCACATAGGTCTCCTCCAACTCCCCATACATAGCCTCCTCTGTTATCCACATCCCTCACTACAAAGGTTCATTGTCACCTATGGTCCACACTTTAGAGTGAGATTCATTCTTGTTGTCGTTTTGTAGAAAGATATGGACAAATTCGTGGTGATATGTATCCTCTATTCTATTATCACATGGCATGGTTTTACTACCTTAAAGATCTTTTGTGCTCTGTCTCATCTGACTTTTTAGTGGACCAGTTTATTACAGATATGAGACAATGGTGAGAAAGGGCAAAACACTGAATCTTATTGAATTAATTCTAATAATGTTACTTACAACTATATTGTTCAAAAGCTTTCAGCATTGCCAAGAAAAATAACAAAATGCCTACAATTTGCTCTAAAATAATAAAGGAGAAATTTTGGCGTACCATGTAAGGTATATCGACCAAATTCCACGTACACCACGATCCTGTTCCTGAAGATATACTTGCACACTTGCAGGTGATACTGACTTCTATTTTTGTTTGGTTGGTTGCTTTTTGTTTTTGTTTTCTTTAACTTCCCTATGAAGAAGCCAAATGCAGGCAGACATTAAAAGAGGCATAAAAAGGCTTCTTGGATTAGTGCTACATCCATCTCTTCATTGTTGTGTTGCTTTCCATAGCACAACGAAGGGAGTTTCTGTTCACTTTAGCTGAGATATTGAGCCCAATTCTAGAGAGAACTGTTGAGTCCATGGAGATACCCTGTACAAAATTTAAGGTGGTAGCTCTTCCTCCAACCCAGCATTTATCAACCTATGTATTGCAACCCCTTTTGGGGTCAACCGACCCTTTCACAGGGGTCACCTAAAACCATCAGAAAGCACAGATATTTACATCATGATTCATAACAGTAGCAAAATCACAGTTTTGAAGCAGCAACGAAAATAATGTTTTGGTTGAAGGTCACCAGAACCTGAGAAACTGTGTCAACGAAACTGTATTAAGTGATCACATTAGGAAGATTGAGAGCCATTGCTCCAAGTGACCCCAAGCTTACTCTCGGGTCCACTGGCTGTGCCGTTCTTTGCCCTCTCCCGTTGGGTTGGGTATGGTTCCTTTGGAATCACAGTGTCTGCCAGGCCTGTTCCTGAGTATGACTTTCCTTTGTAAAGTTAATAGCTGGCTACTTCACTTGGCAGTCAAGTATTTCACCAAATGCCAACTCAGGATCACTTGTTTCCCACTGGGACATCTCATGCCCCACCAAGAGCATTTGGCCTATTTGTGTATTTCCCTGTCACCTACCCCAGCCATCAGAAAGCTGGCTGAGTTGTAATTACTAAAAAGTCCATTATTGATTGTGCTTGGCTTTCCCTTCTTAGTGCTTCTAGGTATAGGAATAGTGGCAAAGAAAAAAACACATTTGTAACATCTTCTAGAGGATTAGGCAAGCAATAAAAAACAAATTTCCGTGGGATATCAAGCTGGTGATTTATGTTGATGTTTATGTTAGCTTTGCAACCTAACATTCTAGATAATTCTTGTCTCACAAGGTAGTCACTGGCCACTGGTAGCTAGTAAGTCCACAAAAGTGAGTAGTGAAAACTGGAGTGAAATACATATCAGATGTGGATTTAGTGAGCACAAAAGAGAATGCAGAAAATACCCCAAATCTAGTTACTTATTCAATCAATAATGGACTCATTTATTCAAGGATCAGCTATAGTGAAGACTTGAGTACATTCAGGTTATACTTCAATGGAGCTTAAATACAAATAGATAAAATTCAAATTTTCATTCCTCTATGAAACTTGGCCTTCTACACAAGTACTATGATGAAGATAGATAGATAGATAGATAGATAGATAGATTTGAGGGATTTATATATACACATATAAATCTATCATATATATTTGAGGATATATATATATATATATATATATATATATATATTCCTCAAAGTAGCCTGGCTCATCGCTTAACACTTGCTGTGTAATAAAATAACCACTAGACCTATGTGACTGTCAACAATTAAAATGAACCAAGTCTGAACCAAGACATGAGGTAATCAACCCAACTTCCAAAGATTATATTTCTTTATGTTTTAAGAAGTTTAAACTTGAAAGGGATCATGAAATGAGCCAATCAGTAATCTTCTGAATGCCTGAATTAGAATCAAATATGAAATAGTTATAGGCTATCATTGGATTATGAGTGTTGTCTGCAGTTATTATTGTAACTTTAAAGTGGTATATTAAGTACATTATTTTATATATTGAATTCATGGTGAAATACATCATTATAAAGCATTATTAAAATTAACTTCGCCTGTTCTTTTTGGGTATGATTACAAGGAAAAAAACAAGATCACACGTGGGAATTAGGTTGTATGTGTAATCTTTTTCCATTCAGCTGGTGTTTAACCACACGGAAGGGGGCTTTGCCTGCTCAAAACAAAACAAAAAAAAAACAAAAACAAAAACAAAACAAAACACTGTGGCACAAATGGATGGAGGGATTTGGGGAGTTTAAGCTACCTCAGCTCCTCTCCTATCCCTTCTTTTCTGTTCTAGAGGAGTCACTTGTCTATTGAGCTACAAGCATAGGTACCATGATACTATGGAGAGATGGCAGAGGTTAAGCAGAAAGACAGATCCCTCTGACCACAGAGTCCTCACTTACTGAAACATGAAGAGGAAAAAAAAAAAGAGAAAAAAATCCTGCAGAATTACTATCTCCTTAGACAGAAATACAAAACTGATCTGCTTCAAATAATACTGTGTTGTTGAGGTCAACATGTGCAACCACAGCCTGCTGTCACCCTTGATGCCGTTATCATTTATAGTAATCACTATGATAACTACTCCCATAAGTCACCAAAAATGGAGAAAATTATCAAAATTCCATATTTCTGGGGAAATTCTAACGCTAATAACAGCTCAAAGAGAAATTTAATAGTAATGAAAAACCATCATAAGGCTGACAAAGAAGGAGAGTCAACAAAAGAATTTCTAGGCGTGAGCCAGGAGGCGCAGCGAGCCCAGCAGCCGGCGACCAGAGAGCCAGCAAGTGAGCGAGCGAACCCCTGAGTAAGCTCAGGGAGCAGTCCCCATGCCGGGCTGGAAGAAGAACATCCCCATCTGCTTGCAGGCAGAGGAGCAGGAGAGAGGCCTGCTGGGAACAGGACTTCTAAAGGACAGTATGTCTGGAAGGCTGTGGTGCAAGGCCACTTTTGCTGGCTATAAGCAAGGTCTCCGGAACCAGAGAGAGCACACGGCTCTCCTTAAAATTGAAGGCGTTTATGCCCTAGATGAAACTGAATTCTACTTGGGCAAGAGATGCGCCTATGTGTTTAAAGCAAAGAACAAAACAGTGACACCTGGAGGCAAACCAAACAAAACCAGAGTGATCTGGGGGAAAGTAACTCGGGCCCATGGAAACAGTGGCATGGTCCGTGACAAATTCAGAAGCAACCTTCCTGCAAAAGCCATTGGCCACAGAATCCGTGTGATGCTGTACCCATCCCGGATTTAAACCAATGAAAAGTAAATAAATAAAAGTGGATTTGTGCTCTTGTAAAAAAAAAAGAATTTCTAGATATGTTCATACGTAGGAGAAATATATGAAAGTGTGGGGATGTAGTAATAGGGGCGGCAGGGCTGCGTTCCCCACACCCGGCCGCCCACATGGCTAGCTTATGCCCCAAAATAATTACACAGACACTGTATTCTTTTAAGCACTGCTTGGCCCTTCTGCCCTAGCCCTTACTGGCTAATTCTGATATCCCGATCAACCCATCTCTAATAATCGGTGAGCACCGGTCTTACCGGGAAGATTCTAGCCTAGTCCATCCTGGGTCAAGCTTCATGGCGTGTGTCTGCCTGGGAGCTGGGAGTATGGCGTCTCTCTCTGAGGCGTCTGCTCCCGAGAGAGCTGTGGAGTCTCTGACCTCACTTCCTCTTCCTCCCAGCGTTCTGATCTGTTTACTCCACCTACCTATGTCCTAACCAATAAAATGGGCCAGGGCAGTTCCTTTATTAGCCAATGACCTTCCTCCATCATGGGGACACTTTGGCTTATCCCTTCACATCTCTCTCAGTTGTCTGACATCGAAGGATTATCTTGATATCGACTGCTTTTCCAATGAACAGTCCGTTATAAGAGTCATTAAGACACCAGTGATGGAAAGCAAAGACCTCACCTTGCCTGTGCTGCAGCTGGCTGCTCCAGTGCTTCTCTGGTGACAGTGAGAGGGAGGGACCTTGAGGATGCTGAACAGAGAGACTCTGTGTAGCCTCTGGCTGAGCAATACCAGGCACCACACCATGTAGCACACAATGACTTACCATGGAAGCATAGAGACGTGATTCTTCTGACTATCTGAGGATCCCGACATTGTTGGCCTCCATCAGACACTGAAAACCAATGCGGACCAGAGGCTCTGGGAAAGCCTACTTTTGTTCTGCTTGTCGTCCTACAGAAAGGTTGCTATGGGAAGTTGAGCAGTTCCTCTGCTGTCTAAAATGTACAAAGCATCCCAAAAGTGTCCCAAAGCAGCACTCATTTCTACCAGCACAGATATTTTCTAATGTAAAAAGAAGTACATACCTCAGGAAAGGACACAGAATGTAAAGAAGTTCCTTGACTTCAGGAAGCTTCCATGAGATACAGTTATATAAAAAAATGATAAAGAGTAAAGTCATTTGTTGAAATGAGTTCATCACAAAGCGGTGAAGTTCAGTGCCCACACCCCAAGAATCCACCATCACCTCCCTCAGTGAGCATATTTCGGCTTGGCTTTCCAATGGCTTTGTGGGATGCAGAGTCATGAGTGTTGCACAGGAGGAGGTGATCAAAGCTCAAGAGATTTTTAAGAGAAGTGAATGAACACTGGTCTGAATGTTTGAATGGACTGAGAGTTTCCTGGATAACAGTAGCTTACAGAGAAGGGTCTTGACAGAGAGCAGGTGGTGGGTTCCAGTGGAGTCATTGATGAGCTTTTGGTTGACATATCTCTCAAAACCATGTGTAAAGGAAGAAGTGCCACTGGAAAGAGATACGTGAGTGGACCTAGCAGAGCAACAGCGAAAGGTCTGATGTAAGGTGGAAGCAGGGCATTGAGAGCAGCTAGGCAGAGGCCGCGTGAGGAGAGAGCAGCCTGTAGCACAACCTTGGAGCTTAGAAACGCTGACCGCTAAATAATAGCTCAGAGTTACCTATTTCCAACTTCTGTTATTCCCCTCCACTGGCCAAGGCCAAACCGAAGCCAGATGGCAAAGGAAGCTGCTCATGTTTTCAGCCTCCTGATACTCAGAGCAGCACAGAGAAGGGGAGCAACTAGAGTTTAGGATGCATCAGACTATACCAAATGGAGCTAAGCCCTACCGAAAGGCAACCTTTGAACTAGAAGGGCCAGGGTAGGGTAAATACCATCTGTGCCCTCACCAGTTTGCTCTGAGACTCAGTCTCCCATTGCCTCCATATGAAAAGCTCAGGCAGTAGAGAACAGAAAACTATCTCAAGCATCCATGATAGAGAATCGCAGCAGGAAATGCCTAAAGCGAGGACTAGCAGCAGAGATAAGGAAGACACAGTACAGGCAGCTTTAAGAGAACCTAAGAATCCATCCTCAGAAAAATATTGCTGTTTGTAACCATGACTTTCCAAAATCCTGCAATTTGGCCTAATCCAATTTTTGATTAAATTTTGATTGAACTAATCCTCAACTCTATATTTAATAGATGAGAAAAGGGGGCTTCAGATTTTCTTTTTCTAACTTAGCCATATATTAACCTGAGCTATTCAAAAGTTTACTGAGTCTCTGATTAGCCTATAACCAGAAGAATATGCCCCAGCCTTTTACTATAAGTTCTTAAATGTGAGAATTCTTCCCCAAAATTTTCTGAATCTCATAGAGGTTTTGATATGAAAATGTTGGTAATTAAGGAGTAATACATTTTTTACTATAACTGAAGTTTCAAAATCTATGGCTGGCACTGGAAGACAGACTGAGCCCCACCCCACAACCCTGATCAGTACACTGTATAGAGCACAGATTGTTGCCAGGGTCACCCTGCCTCCTTTTTAGCCCGGTGGCCTTCAACTGTGAAGGAAGATTATTTCTGGCTTTTCTGCCTAGCCTAGCAGGAAGCAACCAACGCCACCAGTTCCTTTCCAACTCCCTCACCTCCCTGCAAGGGCTTGAGTTCTCTGGAAAGAATTTGAGAAAGGACAGAACAAAACAAACCTTGTTAATGTTCCTTATCTAGAACTCAGCCAGTGAGCAAAGACAGGAGGCGGGCTCAGTAGTTTCCTGGGAATCAAGGAAATGACAAGGCTGTAAGTGTAGTTAGGAGCACCAGACTGGCCTCTCTCTCCTGCATGCTACCTCATAGGTTCAAATCTGAGAGAAGGCTTGAGCTTCAGACTGCTAAGAAGAAATTAGGGACGTCTAAAAAGGGTCTTATTAAACTCTGAGTGTAGACAGGAGCTCCCTGACCCTGGGGTTAATGAAAAGTTCTTTGGAACTTTCCTGCATGCTTCTTCAGTGGGGCTGTGCTGCCTTTGTGTAAGGGCTCCCAGCCAGAACACTGTTCATCAACTGTAGATTCAGCTCTCTCCATTCTTTAGTAGCCCCAACATTATTCTGTGTAGGCGTTCAGTACTAACTCTACCTGCTTTTAAACTGTAAGAAAATCTTCAACTACATTCTTAAAATGAGCTGCCATTCGCTGAATTTTGGTTGTTATTTTTGGTTTTCTCTTTCTCTTGGCCGCTGTCATAATACTAAATGTTTTGTTTGTATGCCTCTACTTCATCTAATCTTTATCAGAAGTCCTTTAGAAGGTAAATGTCAAAGCGCAATCACAAACAGAAGAGCCGAGTTTTTAAGAGATCATCTTATTATAGAAGGGTTATAAGGAACAGTACCAAAATTGTACACAGTTACACCGTGGTCCATCACACAAAGGACACAGAAGGGCAGTGTGCTGGATGAAGGGGAGATGCCCAGACAGCACAGTGCTTGCTGGGCAAGCCTAACGACCTGAGTTCAAATCCCCAGCACTCACATAAAGGCTGGTGCAGTTTCACATCTAAACTCTGTAACAGGGTTAGGAATGGGCAGACACAAACTGGTCCCCAGAGCTTCCTGGCTAGACAGGCTAGTGATCTCAGCAAAGGAAGACAGTCAGTCAACCTGTGCTCTCAATATGCATGCGAAGAATGGTTTAAGGATTAATTTAAAATGTAAACCATAAAAGCATAGCACATCTAGCAAACTACTAGAATAACACACACACACACACACACACACACACACACACACACACATCTCTCAAGAGATCACCAAACATGGTAAGCAATTATCTCCAAAGTGGAAAGAGAAATTTGTCAGTATGACCACAGTTATGCCCTGGTGTGTAGACATAACCCCATCACATCTGCAACCTTTATCTTCAGTGGAGAATCTGCTCTGACTCCTGGTTTCCATGGTTACTCCACAGGAGGAAAGGGGCATCACAGGAGCACACTTCTGTGATCCTCTCCCTGCCTGAGAATCAGCCCTCAAAAACGGTCAGCTGACATTTCCTAGAGACGATGAAAAGGCTGGAGAACCATAGTGGCCCCTGAGTAAAGAGTCCTGCTTATTGAAATAGACCATGAAAGCCCCAAATTAGTGCCCCATAAACACAATTTCAAAACCCTCTCCAGTGAATCTAAGCTTTAAGATCCCATCATGGAGTACCTGTGGCTTTTTGTAGCAAGACTTCTAAATAATGTGCCCCAAAGCAAAAGTTAGAGATGAGGTAACTGCTAGCTCCATGTAAGCAATGTGACTCTCTTTTCTCAGAAGATCGAAGCTAGGTAAACACATAGCTGTAGAGCTAGATAGTTACACTAAAACTCAGAATTTCCTGTCCTTCAAAGTCAACAGAAGTATGCTTTGCTCAGCTTTCTTTTAAACTTCATGTCATAGTGAACAAACATATGCTGAGAGTTGAGAACTAAGATCTAACAAGGCAGAGATAGCAACAAACTTCTTTATGCCTATATGTATAAGTTGGAAGTAATTTAGGGAAATAATTATAAAGTGTGTTTGTGTGTGTGTGTGTGTGTGTGTGTGTGTGTGTGTGTGTATTCTTGTAGTTTGCTGGCTGTGTTATAGTTTTAAATTAAACTTTAAACCATTCTTTTAAAAAAAGGAATTATACTGTTTTTGCTGTTCTATTTTTCTGTCCTGGGTTTTGAGACAAGTTCTCATATAAGCCACGCTGGCCTTGCATCCACGACACAGCTGAGTCTGGCCATCAACTGCTGATCCTTTCATGCTTCAGGCATGCATCACTACACCTGGATTAAAAACAGGTATCACGTTGTTTGGAAAATATAAATGTCAAGGAGACATAAGAGAACTCAGTATGAGAAATTATACTTGGTGGTTTACATAAGCAACCAGACAGTATGCACATTTTCGTATTTGACCCCAAGCGTTCTACGACACAAGCAAGCTGATTGCTATTATTCCCATTTCC